TAGGAGTATAGATATTATCTTATCACTGACAGCCTTATACTTCAGGACAGATCTTGAAACATCCTTTGTGATGATGAATGCCATGCCATTCCTCTTTAAACTGTCGTTCCTGGCATAGTAGATCATATGGTTGTCTGATTCAAAATGGCCAAAACCAGTCCATTTCAGCTCACTATTGCCTAGGATATCAATGTTTATCCGTTCCATTTCATTTTTGACATCTTCCAATTTTCCTAGATTCATACTTCATACACTCCATGTTCCAATTATTAATGGATGTTAGCTGCTGTTTCTCCTCAATTTGAGTGGTGCCACGTCAGCAAAAGGAGGTCTCAAAAGCTTTACCTTATCCATATGAGTAAGGCTGATTTTACACTGATTGATGCAGCTCTTGCCTAGTTCTATTTTGAGAGCCTTCTAACCTAAGTGACTCATCTTCCTCCTCTGTTTTAGACAATGATTCCAGGCTATTCCTAAAGTTGTGCAGTAATTTATCAAATAGTGCTTCTCTGCTATTCATAAGGTTTTCCCTGGCCAATTCTTTGAGAAGTGGATGACCTCCTCCTCCTTCCTAGTCTGGCTCAATCTTCAAGCCAGGCTGATACCTGTGCACAGCCAGTATGAGACACCAGTGGTACAGCCTCAAGACACAGCAACACGTCACCACAGTAGGACAATCTGACAGACAAGTTTGTCTCCCTTACCTGTTGGAAACCCCTCCAACCACCCTTACCTGGATCCCTGCGGCTAACTCCTTGATCTGTTCCAGTCCCCTTTGCCTTTTCTGACCTATCCCTGCCTTCTGCCTCACTGCTTGTGGGGGGTGGCCTGGGTTCCCTGTCCTCACCTGGCTCCCTGCAGTTGAATCCTTGATCTGTTCCTATCCCCTTTGCCTTTTCTGTCCAATCCCTGCCTTCCTGCCTTGCTCCTTGTGGGGCATGGCCTGGGTTCCCTCTCTTCACTTGGGTCCCTGTGGCTGATTCCTCAATCTGTTCCAGTCCCTTTTGATTTTTTTTGTCCTCTCCCTGCTTCCTGCCTCGCTGCCTGTTCTTAGGTCCCTGGAATCCGAATGAGAATGCTATCACTTTAAATATCCAAAATCGTCACTGCTTGTAAACATTTAAAATGGCTGTGCTCTCTGGACAAACAAGAAGGTCAGTGAAGAAAACCTGCAATATCTGGGGATAGGGCAATAAGAGA